ATTTTAATGAAGTCTATAAATGAAATTAGAGAATTTCTCTTTCGGCCGAATGATTATTTAAATATTTTCAGTGAGCTCGCAACCGAGTTTTATGCTCGTAAAACTAAATTAATTAAATGTAGGATGAACGCGCTGTTAATAGACTCATAATCGAAGAAATTGGACGTACAGCTTTCTTGGAAATCTCGTGGGAAGAAAATGATCGTGTAATTTGTTTCCTTTGTATGACTTTTGAAGAAATTCTTTCGAGAAACAAAGTAATTGCATCATTCGATTTGTCTCGCTGAAGCGTCGAACTGTTCAAAAATTGATTAAGAAGTAAGAAGGGAAAATTCGATACGCGAAGAGAAAGGTAGAATTCATTAATAATTGCTTCCTAAAGTGGTAAAATTTGATCATTAAAATATTTCATACGCATTTTGCCGCTGAGTTCACCAAACTCGCTCCAAATTATTGACAAAATTTTTACTTTTAGAACTGACGTCAAACAGAGAATTTAGAATTCTATCTTTTCGAAATAGATTTTCTTTTTCAAGGCAGTCGTTAACTGCGTTACGAACGATCCATTTAACCTTTAACTGGGACACAATCGCGTTTTTACAAAATTAATTGATTACATTGGATTCGCGATACACCGAAAATAAAACGTGCAGAAAGATCTGTTAATCTGATTCTGATTATTCTTGGGTCGTGTACAAGGTAACAAAAACATTCAAAATTAGAATTTTACGAGAAACTTAAATAGGAATGCAATGTGCGGCCACATGTCGGTAATCGTTCCAATTTCGTTAAAGTTCTTAAACAGAACGTAATTAAATTGTTTAGAAACATCGTTTCGATTTCGTTGAAGTTATTAAATAGAGAATAACTAAATTAATTAAGAACATATGACCCTACTATATAGTCTGTTCATTTCTGGATAAATATTGATATAGAAATACAGCGTTGTGATTAAACATCGATGATCGATCCAATCTCACTAAAGTTCTTAGAGACAATATAATTAAATTAATTAGGAACATGTTACCATACTATAGTCTGCATATTTCTTAATGCAATGTTGTGGTCAAATATCGGTAATCGTTCAACTGTTACAATAATCAAATTAAACAGGGGATAATTAAATTAATTCGAAACATATCACCACAAATTGTGGTCTGTTCATCGCTATAATAAATATTGCTATAGAAATTCAATGTTTGGGCCGCTCATGACCTCAGCAGATCAGTCAGGGGTTAACAAATATTATTTTAACACTACAACGAAAGATATAATCTAGTTTGTTTTCCGTAGAAGCAGAGCTGATGAAATATACGTAGAAAATGTTCTGAAGTTCTTGTTGCAGTGGCCATAAACCACACAGTTCCGAACCACATAAATCCCTAAAGCTGTATCTACAGCCCCGCTGCAAGACATTTACGCATGGCTAAATTACGCCGATACTTCACACGACAGAATTCAAAGCCTCACGAAATAGCCCGCCGATAAATAGGTTGATACAAAAGTATCAATTCCCTGTACAAAAGCATCGATGCTATCAGAAAATGCCTCCTCGATTCTATCGGCGACCGAGCGAAACGAACGTGCTTGCGGTAGATGTTACGTGGATTGTCTCTATTCTCTCAGCCACCCCCCGTTGATTGATTGGATCGGAGAGGGCGAGAGCAACAGTATAAATACGCCGGCGAAAGGGAGATCAAATTTTCGGCAGCTCATCGAATAATCCGGCACTTTCTAGCTCAAGAATCACGGCCGGTCGCAAAGGTCGATCGATAGTTCCTTACTGTTTGCAGTGAGATCCGGGAAACGTGGATTACACGCGGAGCTCGACAACCATCCATTATCATGCAAATCTATTCATGTTTCCATTTGGACGGTCTTAGATTTGTCAATAGAAGTTGACATTTCTACTTCGCACATTTTTGACGGAGCCGCGCATCCCAGTCCCCCGCCGAAAGGCGACATTTTACTTTCGTATTTAGTTGGCCTAGGTTTGTGTGTTTAGGGTAGACGCTAGCAATATGGAATACCTGATTTCAGAAGTTTCCTGAACGTTCAGGCTGTCTCTTATACACATCTAGATGTGTATAAGAGACAGGCCTAGGTTTGTGTGTTTAGGGTAGACGCTAGCAATATGGAATACCTGATTTCAGAAGTTTCCTGAACGTTCAGGCTGTCTCTTATACACATCTAGATGTGTATAAGAGACAGGCCTAGGTTTGTGTGTTTAGGGTAGACGCTAGCAATATGGAATACCTGATTTCAGAAGTTTCCTGAACGTTCAGGCTGTCTCTTATACACATCTAGATGTGTATAAGAGACAGGCCTAGGTTTGTGTGTTTAGGGTAGACGCTAGCAATATGGAATACCTGATTTCAGAAGTTTCCTGAACGTTCAGGCTGTCTCTTATACACATCTAGATGTGTATAAGAGACAGGCCTAGGTTTGTGTGTTTAGGGTAGACGCTAGCAATATGGAATACCTGATTTCAGAAGTTTCCTGAACGTTCAGGCTGTCTCTTATACACATCTAGATGTGTATAAGAGACAGGCCTAGGTTTGTGTGTTTAGGGTAGACGCTAGCAATATGGAATACCTGATTTCAGAAGTTTCCTGAACGTTCAGGCTGTCTCTTATACACATCTAGATGTGTATAAGAGACAGGCCTAGGTTTGTGTGTTTAGGGTAGACGCTAGCAATATGGAATACCTGATTTCAGAAGTTTCCTGAACGTTCAGGCTGTCTCTTATACACATCTAGATGTGTATAAGAGACAGGCCTAGGTTTGTGTGTTTAGGGTAGACGCTAGCAATATGGAATACCTGATTTCAGAAGTTTCCTGAACGTTCAGGCTGTCTCTTATACACATCTAGATGTGTATAAGAGACAGGCCTAGGTTTGTGTGTTTAGGGTAGACGCTAGCAATATGGAATACCTGATTTCAGAAGTTTCTTGAACGTTCAGGAATTCGTCAATTTTTATGAAATTTTTGAAAGAGGGTAAAGAAATTTTACCGAAAGGCGACATTTTACTTCCGTATTTAGTTGGCCTAGGTTTGTGTGTTTAGGGTAGACGCTAGCAATATGGAATACCCGATTTCAGAAGTTTCCTGAACGTTCAGGAATTCGTCAATTTTTATGAAATTTTTGAAAGAGGATGAAGAAATTAATACATTGTTGAATTTCTATAAGTGAACTTTGAAGAATTCAATGTTACAAAATTATAGCGAAAGAGAAAAGTGTATTAGAATGTACCGACGCGTGTATATCGGAAACGATGAAGCCAAGAAATAAAATAATCATTTGGATATAGTATAAGTGTATCTTCTTTCTATATTACAATGAGATTCTTTTAATAAAATTAAAACGGTGTGTGTTTCTCCTACGCTACCAAAACTGAAAGAAATTGTGTGAAATCACAAGCGACTGAGCAAATGATAGTCATCGAAATCACTTCGCTTTTATCGAATAGCGTGCTTCCGACTTTATTGACACTACGTTTGATGAGAACTATCAGCAGCCATCTTATGTGGCTGGATGAAAATAACAAGCATATATCTGTCCAGATTTTTAACGATTTTAATCATAATATTTGTCGAATTATTGAATATATTTCCCGTAAATGTATCTTTATAATTAAAATAAATTAATAAATTTCAATGCAAAAAACAGTTGTGTTAGTTAGTTTCCGCAAAATACAGTTATGAAATATAATTAATCAGAAATTCGTTACGTATTGGTATAATCCTTATCAGTAGACCGCGGATTTTTATGCAAAATAAAAATTGCCATCATTAATTGCAAGATGAAAGAACTACAGCGACATTGATCTTTCTCTTTAACAATTTTGATAAGTCGACAGTGATACAATAATATTTTCGGATTGCTTAAATGTTTGTGTTATTGTGCATTTGATTTACACATTTTTGTCATAACTAAATAAAATTCACGGTCTACTTATAAGCCTACTTACAGTATAATAACATCGCGTCTTACGTCTGCTGGCAACAACTACATTGCAAATTATTTGTATATTTATTTGTTAAATTTGCACGGGTGAGTCACTTATTAGTTATAAAATCAAACGGAATCAAATCGGTCAAATGGATTGATACAATGTTAAATAAAATATAAGATAACCTTAAATGAATATGATAAATCTGCACGGACTATAATAACGTTGGGAATTATACGAAGTAATACGCCTCAAATTCTGTTTGAGGGACTGCAGTGGATGGTTCAAAAAATCTATGGATGCACAATATTTTCATGACTGAAAACACGATTATGCAGAATCGTAAACAGCATCGATATATAAATCGGAAATAAAGTATGTTCGGTATCATTAACAAGATATTATACGAAAATTCGTATTAAAACCGTCATCTCGTATGAAAGTAATAAATTTCTGTTCCAGAAAGATCAGCGTTCGCAAATGGATTACGAGGGATTTAAACTTGCACGAGTGTCGAGCCTTTGTTCGCTAATTGATTTGGTGCATCAGTACCAAAGAGTCGGGACCAATACGGATCATATTAAAATTCGATGTCACAAAGAACGGATTCATTTGCGGTGAATTGTCCCTACGGCGCGGCAGCGTACCCCGAGGTTCGATTCCGAATTGAATTTATTGCTGCAAACTGATTTTATTATTTTGCCCCGAGTGCCGATAATAATATTCGATAAATAAATATTATCCCCGGGAACGGTTTCATTCCCGGTTTTCGTTACAAGCCCGGTGACGGGGCTCGGCCGTATTTCTTCTCTCGAATTAAAAACACTCGCAACATTTCCGCGATAAAATCGGTATAGTCTCGCGGCAGAATTTTCCCGATTCCAGATAACCGCGCGTTGTTTTTAAAACACCGCCGGCTCGCGCAGATTCGAACGGTATAACGTAATCTAGATCGTTCAATCATTCTTTATCGAGCATTCAGATAGCGCCCCGCCGCTGCGCGGCGCGGCGGGACGGCGCGCAGGCCGTTTTTAGCGTTGCACTCACCTGGTCGACGATCTCCGTTAGGTCGTGCAGACTTATGTTGTAAATGGCGTTCCTGAAAAACGAAACGAGAACGTTAAGTCTTGCACCGTAAATCCTTCCCCGTAATCTATCCGCATCTAGCCTTCTCCGCGAACAATTTGAGCCAACCGCGCCGCGGATAAGCATTAGTAATTACGGCGTGCGCGACAGCTTGACGGAACAATCGAAACCGGATACTCATAAAACGAACGTTTCATCCTAAACGAAAATGATAATCAGCGTTCCAGCGGTTTTACACGGTAAAAATCGCGGAATTACCGACAGGGAGGAGAAAGATTTTTCACAAGCGAAGAGAACGTTACGCTGTGCCCGGACATGTTAACCTTTTATCTTATAACTTCATCTCGATAGCGGTTTAATCAATGCGGCATTTTGTAAATAATAATTAATGTTGTTCGACCTACAGACTCGCGAGATTTCAGCGGAGAAGTTGAACGATATTCCTCTTTCGTAAACTCCAAATGAAATTTTAATCATTTGTTCGACGCGGTATTATAAGCCGAAAGGGGTATTCGATAATGAAAATGAAAAAATATATCACTTTCGTGTTTTAAACTTGGAAATTAAAGAGTTGGTAACGTCATCGAATATCTTTCTGAATCACATTCTTGACTCACGTGGATCGTAGGTTAATTATATTTGTAATGATCAATAGTGAAGGAGATCAAATTATGCTCTGTCTGAAACACTTGTAATTTAATCAATAATTTACTCAATCAGTAATTTCTACGGAATTATATGTATTAAGGTAATACTGTTCGCATGAACGTTATTTCATTATTTGTGTGTATTATCTCATATCTGATGAGAAGACAAAACCGTTTGTTATTTAATTAATATTTCGTTAAAATACCGTAAATTCCGCTGTACCTCCCAAATTACATCGGACGAAAGTTCGGAATCGATTAACGGCAAAAATTAATCTGCGCCGCGACTTTGGGACTGATAATCTGTTCATATTAAATTAATTAATATAAAGTTAACACGTTCTTTACCAACGTTACATATTTGCCACCGACACAGTTTCACGCTTCACGTGAGATTCTGAAGGGAAGGAAATGAATTTTATAAAATCCGTAATGCAAATCTCGCCGGAGATTAACGAGATTTCTTTGTTACGATTTTTTAATATATTTCACTGGGAGGATACGCTACGTTTAATAAAACCCTGCAGCTGTGAGAACTGTTTCACGGCAAATGGCACACGTGTTAATACACATTGGACGTATTTTTCTGTTTTAGCATGCGAATAATTCCTTTAGCGATTATGTTCACAATTTTCATACAACACTGTTTCTCAGCGGTAGCATTATTAAAAGATGTTGATAAACTTTGTAATTACAATTTTAACGAGATTGTTGCGTAATGAATGTTGCTAGAATACGGTTATCTGAGATTGCTACAAGGAATGCTGATCTGGTAAATAATAAATGGTTTCTTTCTCTTTACAGATCATTGCGTGATTTTTTTCTTAACCATGTTATTATTGCGATAGTCTTCTAGGGACACATTATCTGTATCATTACTAGCACTTTCGACCTTATGCATCCCGAAACGACAAAATAACAAAATGCAATCTAAAATTGTATATTTACGAATAATTGACTATTAATGGAAATTAAAAATGCTTCAATAAATATTCTTCGTAATTAGATGTAATACCGAAACGAATGCCGAATCTAATATCCCTAATGACACTTACTAATGAATGTCGACACGTGGACACCAAATATGTTTGGTATTTGTACTGAAATTAATATTCAATCCAATATATTCCAACGTGCGACATTAGTGAGCACGGCTGCACGAAGTTAATCACTTAAGAGTTTTCCAGCGAGCGTAAGTAGGTACCTACACTACACATTCGATAATAACTTTCCTACCAAATTAATTAAGTTCAGTATTAAGTTAACTTCGATATCAAGCCTCCTCCGACATATCGCTTTTAATACGTTACACGTCGCATAACTTAGAAACCTCGTTTATGCGCACTCCCTGACAATTAATTCGTTTAATCGTGACAAAGCCTCCCGCTACTCTCCTGCGATGTTCTAATTAACCAATTTCAAATTTCAGCCATAGTCTGCGATACAAAATGCTAAGGGACGCGTTCCAAACGGGATGTGCAATAGCACTCATAATTGTGCCGTTCCTATTAAAACGACAAAAAATATCGTGAACAGAGAAAGTAAAACTATATTATACAGTTTATAGATTAATAAATGAGTACGTAAATATATTTGTTGAATATGTATTTGTGATTTTATTAGCGTGCCATTCGTGACTATAATTCAAGCACGTAAATCTTGTTTTTATTATTACTGATTGTAAATTGCACGCCCGTTCCATACGTGGTTAAAACTATTTGAAAAATGTATTGGAAATATTGAATGAAACAAGCGTATTCGTCGGATATTATTTATTTCGAAATGAACTTGGCTATCGATCTGAAACTCTAGAAAATATGAAATTTATAAATTCAATTGCCGTAAATACAATTTTCTTATCGCATATTCATACAAAAAATTCTCTCCTGAAATATGCAAAGAGGGGCTGTTATTGATCTTCATCATCCTTTGAAAAATGGTATCTGTTTTATGATTAAAATGACCCAATAACCGTGTGCGCTTCGATAGCTATCGATCGCGATGCTTATTACGTAGTAGTTAATGCATATTTGCGTGATCCTGTTGTTTTAATATTAATTCCGGGACTTTATTTTTCCGTGGCGAAGCCGTTGCCTGGTTTCTAAAGATAAAATAGTTCTTTTGTCACGGTTTCGTTATCCGATACTGTCATCGACGACTAAAAAATTGAGCAATATTTCTCTGTCTCTCTATGTGACCGTTTGCTTTTTTTTTTGACACACTGTGTAAGAAATTTTCGATCACCACTGCTGTAATACAATTATAGGTGCTATAAAAGAGACATATGTGGAAAGCGACGTTGTAAATATTCTGAAGATGGAAGAACTAGTCAGAGGACGATTGCTTTTTTGTTTGTATGTTTTGTATCATGCATTTGCATCTAGTTCCAAATCGTTATCCTATCAAGCATAGCAGTAATACAAGATTGAAATTTGTCGAGAGTAAATTTCTGATAAGTTCTCGAAACGTTTCCCGAGTTACTGTTATTAGTAGACTGCGGATTTTATGCATTTGTGATCAAAATGACCGGAGAAAATAACAAATTGTGAATATATTCGAAAAATTTAAGAATGTTGCTACACCTGAAAAATGTATTAGCATTATAACAACAAGCATTTCTTGAAGGACCATAAAATCTATCTTCATTATCTTTCCTGTAGCACTAATCTAATTATTGGTTATGTTTTCGGAATAGGTTTGCTAATGGGGCATCCTTTTTATAACCGATCTTTCAAAACTTCGCTTTAATTTTGAACAGGCAATGATAATATTAATCTTATTTTTTGTAATACATTATTTTTTATTTTTGTATTTTTTTTTGCATTTTTATTATTTTTTATATTTGCAATATACACTAAACAGAACAACACTGCAATATAAACAATGTGTTATACGGTTTTCTACATTATAATATGTACTTTCAATTTGATAAGACGTTTATTGAAATATCAAAAAAAAGTAATAAGAATTAATAAGATGTTTATTGAAATATCAAATTTCGCTCGAACGTTAACGATATGTAAAGTCCCTTAACTTTCGCTGGTAAGTTGGCTGCGAAATAAAGTTTCACTTTTCCATCGTGATCTCTTCGTTCGGTCGCGCAATAATTAGTTCTTCTCCCAGTGATCTTGTGAAAAATGCCACTGTTGCGATAAGCAACGGCGATAAAGCCGCAGCCTGCGAATCGCGCGACAGCCCGGTAATACAAGTTTCCGCGAGAAAGGAAATCCGTTGAATGCAATCGCTATTCTCACCTCCGCGAACGATGTCTCGATAAACAGACACAGTAATCGGACTTCTCACGGAAAATATATTCAAATGCAATGAAGATTTTTATTCGAATTCACCGTTCCGAGGTGTCTGCTGTGCAAACTGGGTGTCAGGAGAATGACGGTAGAATTTTGAAGGTAATTCTATCGTCTGAGACCAAGGCGAGGAGAAAGAATAATATTTCCTTGACATAGACTTCTTTTTCAGGAAAAAGTCGAATTAAAATTTCTCCGTTCTCCTGTAGCAACAGCGTAAAAAAGATAGCAGAATCGCGTGTACTCAAAGACACAAGGAATTAATAAGTTAGTTGAAAGTCGATTTTTCTTTACAAGTACTTCGAACTGTCGCATTGCAGGCAGTAGAATTCTTTTCTGCTTCAAAGTTGAACATTAATCGAAAGGATTAATTAATTCAAATAAAAATATCCTGCGATATCACTAATTCACCTTTTTACCGTTGATGAAAACAGTTCTTAAATCGGTACGGGTACATCTGTAACGTTCTGAGCTGATCATGCCGAGTCAAAGGAAAACGTTGGAAACGGTCTACAGACGTCTATGTAATTAATTATAATTCATACACTAATAGATCTAATAGAAGGAAAATATCTTGAAATTACATTACCTTCCGTTAAAAACTCTGTAGTCGTTAATTTTCGAAAAATCGATGTATTTCATTTTGCTTACGCCGTGCAAAGTACCCGTTACTGCGTCAAAAATGCATAGTTACATTAATTAAAACAAAGTATTTTCTCTCATTTCTCGTGATTATGCCTGGGGAAGGAGCAGCTTCGCTGGTGTATCGAAAATTTTCTCGACGTTCAGTCAGTTGAATAGAAAATTATCGTCCTGAATGGACTACTTACTCGCAAAAACCAAAACGGAATTACTGCTCAGAATATCTCGGCACTGCCAACTCGTTCGAGTCTTCAGTCGGCGATAATTAACCGACGAAAGCGTTCAGCTTGCCATTAGAGCATCATCGGTTAGCCAAACAACTACATACGCGAAACAATAATAACTGCATGCTACTAATCGCGGTTTACTTCAACCACGGGACCATCCGCGACTGTAAATAGCAATCCTTGAATGGTGTC